GAAGAACTAATTGTTGATGTTGGTGACAGTGATAGAGATTCCCTTGATGACAGTGAATGTGAAAACTAACTATAAAACAAAAGCAATAGGTTAATTTTTTCTTTTTTATAAGTCATGTTTTTACATTATTTTCTACTACGCTACTGTCCTATCTGTATTAATACTATAATTTACGTCTATTGAAAGCTTATTTGTGTATGGGTTCCAAGTGACTTACCCAAATAGCTCATAAATGGGCAAGTACCTGCGCGACCGCTCGCCAGCTTCCTTCGTCAGACCTGTACATTGGTATTTATAGAAGTTAATTTCTTTATGAACTTGTTAATTTGTTTTAACATCTTATAAAAAATTAACACAGAAAAAAAAACAGCAACAGTAAAATAGTTTTAATTATTATAAAATTCAATCAAACCGAATTTACTGAAAAATGCTTTACTGTCACAGTTATTTGTATAGTAAAAAGGTAAAAACAGGTAACATAATAGTACGCAGTTTATAAATATGAAAATTTTTATTTATTTGAATGCAACATTATAACTGCAAACATAACTTATGAATATATTCCTTCTAAATTGGTACATTTTGATGTTTCATGTCGTAATAATGGACTTATAAACAGATAGAAACCAGAAATTATATAAACGATCATATCCTTTCAAGTTCTATTAACGATTTCTTAAGAAATTAGAATAACGGATTGGGCAACTTTCGGAATTCCAAATTCCATAGTGTTCCTCTACTTCTTCAATATATAATAATCTTACTGATTTATATAGGTTTCACATTAAAATATAAAGTGGAAATTTTCATTATAATTGTCATACTACATGTGTAAGTACACAATAATAACTGTGTTTAGATGTTAAGAAATAATCTTTGAAAAGTTACAAAACTAACCAAATAGCCCTTTTAAAGAAGCCTAATTGAAATTTTAAACAACCATAATAGATAACAACTGCATGTACCAAAGAGGTTTAACTAACTGTTGAAGTGTAACTTCAGCTTTATTATTTACAAAACCAATTTTTAAATATTACCCATAAAGTGTTACTCTTTTACCAAGATAGAAAATAAGTAGGTAGTCCTAGATGGGATTATAAGGTATAGTCGTTGTATTATAACTTGACAGCATTTGCCTTGAAGCAAGAATGCTCGTCATCTACATTAAAAGATGTAGGGGTAGGTATAATGATCGGTAGTATCGAAAGATACAGGGTTAAATTTTTTGCAATTAGAAGTAAACGACGAAATTTGTATATTATTTGGTAATATCTTCTTAACTGTTTTGAAAAAGTTTATTTGAATATGTTTTATACATTTGTAGAATTGCAACCAAACCCAGCAGGTAGGTACCTATAGCTATTTCAAAATCGCATGAGTCTTTAGTTAGGTCATCTTGTGGTTAAAATTGCATTATATTTATTGTTATAGCTTTATCATCATAAAATTCAATAAAAACAAATAATTATCAAATTTCAAAGAAAATTGTCAGTTCTCCTGTTCGTACTGATTGTACAAGGAAAGTTATCTGCAGTGTTAGGGGCTGTAGTAGTAAATCAAACAAAAAATTTAGATTTTTTCATTCATATTTGTACAAATTAAAAATTTATTTGGAAATTTTGAAAAATTAGACAGATTAAAAGCATTTAAACCTGTTTTTAAATTAAAGGAAGACACCGTCGCTCTATGTATTTTAATAAACGTGGTTACATATTTCCGAGTGGATTAGGATAAGGATTAATTTCAAAAAAATGAGAACAATGAGTGCTGCTGTAGACATCTGATAATTTTTAATTTTGTATTTTAACAGATTAAAAAGAAAAAAGAAAATTCAAGAAGTTTTCATGAAGGACACGGCTATGAGTAATATTTTGTAAGTAAAAAATAGTTTAAGAACATTTGGACGTCTTCTGTCGTCAATATGATAAATAATTTTGTTTTAATTTCAACTTAAACTACTACTTGGATGTAAAATGAAACTGCTTAATTAGTATTATTTGAACCACGTCAGTTAAAAATTTCACTCAAGGAAAGCATTAAATTAATAAATTAACTGTAACTTGAGATATTTTTATTTTATCTTAATTAGTTCACTCATTGAAAATCAAACATATTTTTATTTTTTTATTGATTTTTATTTAACAAGAAACGAACGACGACTTTGATAATATACGAATTTGTTTCTAAAAATTATTTAATTTTACGAAAAATTCTTTTTAAGACATTACTATTAAATAGTATCTAATAAATTGATGGAAAAAAAAATTTTATTCGTTTTCAAATGTCTTAAACAAATTAATAATTATAGGAAATAAAGCAGTTTATCAATTATTCTTGTAGGGTATAAAGATTTGTAAAGCGATAAACATGACATTAAATTAAATATTTCAACGTTATTTTTGGTCGAGTTTAATCAGTCAGTTTTATTTTATACGAAGAACGTCTAGTCCTTCACAAGGTCATCCCTTTCACTTGTGTACGTTTCTTCATAAGCAGCTATTTTAACCTTCTTTAGTGATAACCATGCACAAACACGTCTATAAATCAACAAAAAATGTATAGCAAAAAACGTTGCTTTTCTTGCTTTTACTGGCACCAACATTGTGAAAAGGCAGAGAAGGGGCATAGAATATACGAATTTAATTCAGTTATCGTAAACGTTAAGTAACATGCGGGACGAAATCGTTATTGAACTTTTCCGAGTTGCGTGCAGTTTTTACTCTTTATTTAAAATGTACTTTGTTAGTACTAGGTAAATGAGTTTTATCTAATTGTAAATTATTCGGGAATGTTTGTTGTGTTGATGTGGTGCAACAGTGTTCCTTTGTAATTGTTGTGGATTCAAGAGGATCAAGGTTCGGACCGGCAACCCATAAAGGTACCTTTTTACGACATTTTAATTTATTTTAGTAGCTTCTTTTATGTAATGCAGTTAAACATAATTATGCGGCCAAAGGCATTTGGTTTATGCGTGTGTTTGTTAAGTGGTTTAATGGAATCAACTGGAGTAATTTGCAGTATTTATCGCATGTGTTTTGCTTTAAATGGTGTACCATGATTTTTAACCACTTAATTTTTAACAAGATGGCAATTGCTTTTTCAATTTATTGATGGATTTTACTCATATATATATATATATATAGGTACGTTTCCTAAGATTCTGTAATAATGAGAATGGAAGAACCTTTTATAACCTGGGTGGAAATATATCTACAACATTTTATAAGAAAACTACAACTTTCTACTAGAAATTGCTAAAACATTTAACAACTCCGATCTTCACTATGTTTAAACATTCCAACTTTTTATTTTTTAACTTCAAAATTATGTCATATTACGAGATTGTACAACTCCTTATGTCCCAAAAGTGTATAATCTTTTTCATCTAAATTTAATTTGTTTTCCTCCTACAATTTTCTACAATAGATAATAGTATGAAAATCAAACGTTCATTTAAATTTAGCGCTATTATTTGCGAAATAAAACAGCAGAGACTACACTGCGTGTTGTATATACCTGCTAACAAGCCCGTCGTATTATTTCTTTTTTACATTTTTATAAGAAACGTTGAATGTTGACGAATATCATTGAATGTTGTAGTATTCCATAAGGATCTACCACAAACTATGCCGTTTGTTTCTTAATAAAGAAAATTTTATCAAGTCTCATAATGAACGTTATTTGTTGTTGAATTTCATGGTAAGTTGTACTATTTTATAAGAGGTGCTGAATATTGTCGAATATCATTGAATATTGTAGTACCTATTCCATGAGGAACTACAACAAATTACGTTTGTCAATTGAATATTAATGTTTATTGCGTAGTTAATTGTTATTTGTTGTTGAAAATGTTTGTTTATTACCTACAACCTTCTACAATTTGATGCCAGAAAAAAAAATGAGTTTCAATTTTTTGTAAAAAGTTGTTAAATTTTGTAATTATGAGTTACAACTCTCTACAATTTTTTACAATGAAAAAAAATTGTTAAAAAGTGTTGATTATTGTATAAAAGTCTAGTTTGTTGTAAATACATTTCCACCAGAAAACACACACACTTTAGAAAAATAAAATACAAACCTAGAAAACGCAATTCGGGAAGAAAATTAATACTATTTTATGTTCAAATTGTTCTATTTTTTAAAGTCTTATGAAATTTTATTTTGAAATTTAGACTGTATAACAGTAAGTGATTTGAAAGAAAGTAAGACCTGTTTTAGGTCTTTAAAGAAATTACATACAATTTTGTGATTTACTAAGTTGAGTTACAAAGTTTAGAATTTCGAATTTTAACTTAACCTAACCTAACCTACACAACTTAAAGTGTAAGGAAGTTTTAAACTTAGACAAGTTTAATTATTCAATATTAAATTCGAAAATAATTTAAAAACGTTGAGTTGAGGCGTTAAATTCCGCGCTGATGTGAGTAAAAATCTGTCCTACGGGTAGTACATTTTTTTATTTTATTTTTAACTCTTTTTTGGGATACTTACGACAATTTTGTCTGTCTTAAAGAGCGTTATTTAGTAACGAATAACACAAAAACAAAAGACTGTCATTGCAGATTCAAATAGAGAAAGAAATCTGCACAAAGTTTGAAACACTTTTTAGGGACAAGTATTTAAATACTTTTCACTTATTGTTAATTCATTTTAAGTCATTTTCAATATTATTTTGGATATTCATTTTCCATAATTATTTATCAAAGTATTCTTCATACTAAATTAAATACACAATTTTAGTTACAGAATTATTTATTCTTTCACCTTAGGTAACCACAGGGTGGTGAAATTATCATAATGGTCAAACACCTAATAAGTTATTTTACAACCGGAACCGTGTGTTTAATTTCGTATTTAAAATAGAGTTAAAAGAATTAAAAACTTCGGCAATTCGAATACATTACATTTAAATTAGATAGATAATTTAGAATCATTTCCATTCGTGAATAATTTCCTGTGAATATGGGTTCCCTTATCCCCAGTGGCGGATCCTGAATTTGTGGGGCCCTGGGCTAATACTACTTGGGGCGGGGGGTACCTAATTACTCAACTAATTCCCATTTTGTCAAAAAACTGTTGCCTACAATGCTGTAAATATATGGTATAAGAAAAAAGTTCTTACAACAACAAAGCCAATTTGTTACTTTCACGATGAAAAGAGAAATACAGTGGGACGTCACCAGTTAAAGACTCACATGCGAAAAATTACAGCGACCGAAAACAAGCGACGGGGAATTCCCCTTGCCGTTCGAAAGACGCGCACACGGTGTGATTGATTGCAGGGTTGCCAACCTTACGATCGGATTGTTTTTAGTTTATGTTTTTTTCTTCATAATATTGTCTATTGCTTTCAATTATATCTATAAGACCCTGGACTGCAGCCCAAAAAGTCCTTAAATAGTTCAACCCCTGCTTTTTCCATTTCTTTATTATACTTCCATTTCTCATTTAAATAATTTTATCCCAGTTCCGTCACCTTCTTTCCCCATTTTGTTTTTTCCCGATCTTTATGGACTCTTTCAAGATTTCGTTATTATTTCGTTATCTTTGTAATATTACAAATAACATGATACAGATATCGCTGCACCAGCCATTTTTTCCCTGTTAAATAAAATTTAACATTATATAAACTCTCCTAGAATTTATCCTTGTAATTTATTTTTGTCTCCCAATATTTTCATTTGAATTTAAGTCACAAAATCGTACTACAAATGTTTAAAATATTTCTGTTTAAAATTAGCTTAAAGACTTAAAACAAGTCTTATTTTCTTTTAAATTACATGGAGATTACAGTTTAAAATTAAAAAGAAAATATCTCAAACTTTAAAAAATACAGAAAGTAAAACACAAAAAGTTTTAATCCCTCATACAGGGTGTTCCATTTGAAAAAAAATGGACTTATATTTGTTTGAAGTTAACCAAAGTCGCCACATTGCATGTAATTAACCTACTTTGAAAGTATGGGTGGGTAGCTTGAAGGTATAATTATTTTTCCTGAGAATATTGTTGCTCCAGCTTTGTCACTGTAAAATAGGAATGCCTTTCATTATCTACTGCTCTGTTCTACTTAAAAAAAAAAAAAAAAATTAATATCTCAAAAACGGTAAATTTTACAAGTAGAAAAGCATTATAAAAGTTTACCCAAAATCATAAGTAGAATTCAAAACAGTTATAATATATAGGATGTTCCGTTATAATTACGAAGTTTTAGTCAACTTCCGGAAGTGCTACACAAATGCCTTTATTTTATTTCAGGAGAGCATACCCAATAACGTCATTGTACAAATTTTCAAATTTTACATCGAAGTAGTTTCTGAAATATTCTAATAGGTCGTCACCGTAAGATATACAAATTTTTGATGTTTGATTTTCTTTCTTTTCAGGTAGGTTAGGGCATCGTGGGACCGTCAAGGGAATGGTGAGGGTTTTTCATGATGGTATGTTCATAAAATTGCCAAGTTTATCTATACAACTAAGGTTAAGCGTTTGTATTTTATTTAAATGTTGTATTAATTTAATAACAACAAACTATTATTGCTTGGGGTCTCAATTTTGCCGCGCTTTTCGGTGTTCAAAATTAATTAACGGGCAGTTCAGTGAAGTGAAAATATTTTGTGTAAATTGACGGAATAACAAAAATCGATAGTTTGGAGGTAGGTAGTTAAATTTTAAAAATGGTTTGTAGTTGTTATTGGCATTTCCTATCCGATTTTTCTTTTAGGGTCCAGATTCATTCCAGAAGTACCTATTTATTTAATTTTTCTGAAGAAATTATTTACATAACAAATACTGAAGAGGTAATAATTTTTTTATTATATTTCTGTTTAATTATCAGTAAGCTTCTAACATAATAGACTATGCTGTCGCCACAGTTTTCATTTCTTAATGTATATTGGACATGGCATGCAGTTTATCCTTCATGTTTATTCAAAATCAGTAAGAAAAATAAATTACTTTAGATTAGAAACTAAAGAATTTTGTCTATCCTGCTGTATATTCTAATAAGAAATTTTGAATTACTAACACTCTTCTCTAACTGGTGTGCGTATTTGAAATTAAAAATGATTACACACTGAGTATTATAAAGTGGCTGTGTCCATATTAAGCCAGTTGTACCGAATTAAATTAATAATAATAAAATTTTAATTCTATCTCCGTTTGTGCGTCAAATTAAATTTCCCACAAATCTGCCATTTTAATGTTATACTTTATTCACGAGGGTGTAGGTGACAGCACCAATCAGACATTTTTAAATTAAAAAAAAAAGAAGGCTAGGGCGCCAAAATAAAACTGACAGGTGGAGGTTAGTTTATGAACATGTACTATTCTTTGTAGAGAAATTTGTTGAAATTCATAATATATAACATTTAGTTATTATTTTTATGGTAGGTATAGGTATATTTTTGTGAGTAAAAATTTATAAACAATGATTAACGAAGAGCCGCCTGATGAAGATGTATTTAAAATATTAGTTGCAACAGATAATCATTTGGGTTATGGTGAGAAAAAAGCAGAAATAGGTAAATTTAGTTATATACACAAATATTTATCGTTTTAATCGACATTATTACTTTCAGCTGATGATTCATTCAGAACATTTGAAGAAATTTTAAAGTTAGCAGTAGAACATTCAGTGGATTTTATTTTACTTGGAGGAGACCTTTTTCACAATGCCTGCCCCAGTGCCTTTGCAACGTATAAGTGCTTAGATTTACTGAGAAAGTAGTAACGTATGTTTTTAAGTGTTATATCTTACTAATGGTATGCTTTTAAAGGTATTGTCTTGGTGATAAACCTGTTGAATTTGAGTTTCTCTCTGACCAGTCGTTTCACTTTAGCCATTTGTCAAATCCCAGTGTTAATTATGAAGACCCTAATTTAAATGTGTCAATGCCAGTCTTTAGTATACATGGAAATCATGATGATCCAGTTGGTCAGCAAATTAGCCTATTATGTATTTGTTTATATCATGAACTGTTAATTTTAAGGCCAGAAGCAATTATCTGCTTTGGATATTTTGGCATCAGCTGGACTGCTTAATTACTTTGGTCACTGGAATGATTTGACTAAAGTAGATGTGGCCCCAATGTTGTTAAAAAAGGGAGAAACTCAATTAGCCATATATGGAATGTCACATATTAAAGATGAACGAATGGGAAGACTTTTTTTAGATAAAAAGGTAGGAAGTACCTTTGCTTTATTATAACATATTTTTAGGGAATTTAACATTGTAGGTGACATTCTTTAAAGCTGAAGGTGATTGGTTTAATTTATTAGTTCTGCATCAAAATCGATATGAAGGTCGTGGTCGTAAAAATTTTGTACCAGATTCAGTTTTACCTGAATTTTTGAACCTCATAATCTGGGGTCATGAACATGAATGCATAATTGAACCTCAAAAATGTAAAAGTGATAGTAATATATACATAAGTCAGCCGGGAAGTTCAGTGGCTACCTCATTATCAAAAGGGGAATGTCCCCAGAAGCATGTAGGACTTCTTCATGTTTACAAAACACAATTCAAAATGACTCCCATTCCTCTTAAAACTGTAAGGCCTTTTGTGCACAGTGAAATCCTTTTGGAAATTAGAGAAGAAGACAATCAAAATGAATATGTGAATAAAACACCGAAAGAATATGCAATTCAACAAGTTAATGAGGCCATGGAAAAATTAATAATAGAAGCAAAGAAAAAAGCAACTGGTAACAATTTTTAAACGTTTTACTAAATTACAAGTATATTTAAAAATAAATAGTTATAAAGAAGTTTATTCCAGATGAAAGTAAAAACATGTTGCCTTTTGTAAGGCTAGTAGTTTACTATGCAGATGATTGTCAAAACTTTAATGCAATTCGATTAGGATTGACATTCAAAGACAGGATTGTAAATCCTGAAGATGCAATTCTATTAAAACGTGCAACATCAAGGAATTTTAAAAATAAAAATAAGTATGAAGTGTTTGAATCTGAAGACTTAAAAAAGGTAAACAACTTTATGTACCCCTCAATTGTTTATGCGTTAGATACGCTTTTAAAAACTTCATTAAAAATACTCAAAATAATACATCTAATAAATTGTTCTAAAATGTGTTAGGATTTTTAGTTTTGAACAATACTATTTATTAGTGCACAAGAAAATCAGTAGGTCAATATGAGAACGGGTATTGAAGTTACAGGTAGTAATATCTGGGACAATAAAGGAAAGTCCAATATGAAAAAATGTTTTTAGAATTATTATCAAGTATTAGAATTTCCATCATGTTAAAAAAGTTTGGTTAGGCAGAGGATTATTATTTAGATTTGTGTTTAACCAAAATTGTAAACAAGATGTAATATGAATCAAATTGAAAAGTAGAAAATATAATGTATCGGTGAGTTTTACTTAAAAAGTAATTATATTTATTTTTTAAATATTCACCAGAAGCAATTAAAAAAAAATGCAGTGATGTGAATGTAAAAGAAATTCTAAGTAAAGGTTAGTTTCTGTGTTTCAGCCCTCTGATTGGGCCGAAGCAGTTGAAGATGTGGTAAGAAAATACTTTGAAAATGAAGAAAACGGGAAAAAGATTAAGGTATGTTATGCTGAACACTTGTTGGAAGCTGTAAGAAGGTTTACTGATAAAGAAGAGTCAGAATCGTCCAGCACATTTGATCCTTTCGATGTGGTGATAGAGTAAGTATAAGTTTTCTGGAATGCGAAAAGGAGCCTTTTATATTGTTTATTGTAATTAGAAGGCATTTGGTTATATTGTTTTTATTTGTTTAGCGAAAATTAACACTTTTTTAGTCATGAACGCAAAGAAACTGCAAAAAAAGTTAAGGAAATTGCACCAGAACCTAGAGACTTAAATAATTGCTTGGAAAATTTGAGGGCTGTTAGACAAGCTGCTGAGAAAGAAATTACTACTACTAATGTAAAATATATTATTAACTACAAAAAGCAGAAGAACTTTATTGTCAATATTTTAATGTTTTAGGTTGGTAAACTTTTGGACAATGTGAAACTCACTTATCCCACACGTTCTAAAAGTAGTGTTGGTTCGGATAGTGATGAAGCACTCATGATATCTGATGACGACGATGGTGCAAGTCGTACAATTAATTTTAATAACAAACCAGCTCGCGGAAGGGGTTCCAGAGGAGGAAGGAGAGGAACTGAAACTGGTAGGGCCAAGAGAAGGGGAAGAGCCAGAGGTGCTGCAGCTTTTCTGTAATCAGTTAAAAAGGATACAAACCTAATAGTGTAAGAAGAAAGTATTCAGGAATTGAGAAAAAAGACTAATCGATTTCTATAAACACATATTGGTTTTGTATTTGTACCTCTATCACGTTTATAAGTGTTATTAGAATTCTCATTTAAATTTGATGTATAACTAGTTTTTATTTTTTGTATAAAAAACTTGTTTTTAAAGATAAACATAAGGCTAATGAAATATTCATCACAAATAAAGCTGTTTAACTAAACACAGAATTATTATTTTATTTCCACATTGTATAAGAATTGATTTTTTTATTTATATTTTTGAGAAATATTATTTGTTTACTTCAATTTTTTTTTGCTTTTTTCTTAATAATACGCATTTCAAGTGTGAATAATGAATATATTATTGAGTAGTTGCGTTCTTGTTGTTATTTGAATATACAATAAATTTCCCTTTTTTAATGCTATATATTATGCATAATTGATTAAATAGCGATAATTCATAATGGTTAGTTCATATATGTATGTATTGACTAAATTGTGTATACAATTTGATAAATTATTTAGGTATTTTATCTAAATATATTAATAATGGTTAATTAGAGTTGGTTGAAGTAATAATTATACATAACGAATATAGTTGACTGTCCAACCAAAGTGAAGCAGGAGGACATTACCTAGCACAACCAGACAAGGTTATGTTTATTATTTTTCTACACTTTCAGACTAACTATTATTATTTTACCTAATTAAAATAACCTGTCTATTTATCCCACCGTTTTCTGCCAAACCTCTTTCACTGTCCTAGACAAAAAGCGATACCTTTTTCATTAATTTTTTTAGTTCATCCCATCCTCATTCATTATTTCGTAGCACTCTTCCCAAGTTTTACTGTTCTCTCACATCCTCCTAACACATGCTTCTGACATTCTATCTACCTGTCATATATCCTTCACCGCCCGTCTTCTTCCTATTTCTAATATACACATTCTCTGCATTCATTCATCCCTATCTCTATCCTAAATTTTGCCTGCCCACTTATTTCTTTCCCTTCTTCTAAATACCTTGGCATCCAATCTCTTTGCCAGCACTTTCACAAAATTTTTTTTAGTCCCGCCACATGTTTTGACTCGTCTATTTTTTTTTTCAGATTCTCCCAAATTAGTTCTATTCATGTATTCCTCATTAATTCTCCAATATTGATTCTTTCTCTAAACCACTCCCTTTCTTCCTGCTAAGTAATTGATTTTTTATATCTTCAAAGCCCCTCTCCCTCTCCCTATCAAATTTACTTTTCGATTTCTAATACTTTTTTCCTTCATGTTTCCTTCTTTTAGCTTCCCACCAACGTGTCTTGATATTTTACCATCCTCTTTGTCGCTTCGTCTCACATCTTCGCATATTTAGTTTCCCTTCTTATTACATAATCTGTTGTAATTCTCTCTTCTCTCTAATAGCAATTTTCACTTATAAAATTTTTTGTATATAATCTCTAACTGCTTTTCTCCTCCCATCCCCGTATATTTACCTTTCAAAACACTCTAGGTACTCCTCACCATCATATTAAATAACATCAACATCCTACCACAAGCATTCTTACATAATTTCTCACCTAACTCCCATACCTTTCTTATAATTGCCCTGTCCTTCGTGTGGTTGTTTGTAAGTATCTCACACCTATTATGATCACTTAGCACATAACCTGGATATGAATAATATCTCATTTTTCCTATTTCTACTTCTTTCCATACTATTTTGTTTTTCTGTTTTCCTCTTCCCCTTCTTTCTCTCTCTCCCCAACTACCGTAACCCTTGACTTTTCATTGTTAAACTTCAGCTCCTTCTTTAATAAATACTCTTCTGGCTTTCCCACTATTTCTTTCAATCCTACAAACATATATCCTACTAACACTAGGCAGTAATTCATATCTTTTCCCTTCCCACTGTCATCACCCCTTCCCACCACAAGCCACTCAAATATTAAATATTTACGCGCCTATTTACTTATATCCCTGCTTTATACCTCTATTCGTCAAGAATTTTACCCACTTTTTACCGTTAATTCTCACTACTACCTGCTGTCTCCCTGTAAATCATCATTCGTAGTTTTTTTGTTTTTACTGTTTTTGCTAGATGCTATCCTTCTTTAACTTAATTCGACAACATTCGTGACTCCACCTTATCATAATGTACCCCGGTAGTATAAAATAAACTTTTACTACTCTATCCAAGCCTTACTGTTTAGATTTTTATTCGCGTACCATTTCGTAGGTCGTAGGTATCAGTTGTCTTAACTACCTTCCGCCGATGTTGGTCACTTATTTGTATAGTCATGGAATATTTTGTAATAATTTTCAGAAGCTTCCCGTAAGTTTCTTTTGCTTTATAGTATTGTTGGTTGTATAATTTAGTACTCATGACTGTCAGCCATTTGTTATAGCAGAGGGTCGCCGGTTCTTAAACCGGCGGTATTCATTACTACATATGAAATAAAGAGACGAATTAAATGATAGGAATATAATGTTTTTGAACTCTTTTGGGTGGGATAGTGTAAGAAAAGGTAAAATTTTATGCCTGTTAGATGAATTCAATGTTTTTAATATTGTCTTCTTTAATGAAAGGGTATATCATAATTGATTTAACTAAATTAATTAAGTATTAATTACAGTCGTCAATGATATTTTTTTTATTTGAATATATGAGTGGAGAGAGTGTCAGAAAAAGTACTCTTCTGAAAATTCTGCACCGCTCTCAATTTACAAGACGATCAAACAGACAGTTCTTTGGAACTAAACTAATTAAAACTCCAAATTCCTCATTAAAAAGTTTAGAAACCCAAAACGCGTTTCGACCTCTAAAGTGTCATCCTCAGTTTCTAACGTTTTCACAGACTATTACTCAAAAAAGTAGTTGTTTTAAAACTGAGATAAGTATCTTTAGTATTTGTTGCTATTTATTGATAATACACGAGCTATTACTCAATAATCGTTTATTTGCAGAAGGCATGCTTACATTGCGTACTAACCTTTGTTTACATGTAAATCCTGTAGACGCCGTGAATGTAAATATTAATTTAAGAGACTCTGCAAAATCCAAACAGCAACCGTTTTAAAAATAGATAAATGTTAGCCAAAAAACACTCAAATTATCGCATATACGTATAGAATGTACTGACGTGTTGCGTATTTGCGATTGATGGATTTCCGCTTTTTACCTGATGAAAAGAAAACTGACAATTTATAATTATTATGATTAAACGCTTATAGATATTACATCTTCTGTCTTCACGCTTTTTTTTTTCAAGACATATGACGGCTTCTTTGAGTGATTAGTTGATAAAAGAGGTTCATCTAGTCAACAGTATAAAAATTTGGTAATTTATAAAATTTTCTTTCTTTGCTTGTTGCATCGATTTGGTTTTTCTCTACCTTTCAGTTGATATGACATTACCGAGGTAGAATAAAGAAGTGAGGAATCAATATGAAAGTAGTATGAGACTGAGTATTTGCTGACCTAATATCTAAATATTTTAACCAAATCATTAGTATAATTTGTTCAAAGTTAGTTATAAAAAGAATCCAAGTTTTATAAAGAAATTGGTCATTAAATAAACAAATATAGCATGTAAGTAGAAGGAATTGTGTTGAATAGGAATTTTTATAGACGAGGAGCAGAAGTGGAGATGCTTCATAACAACAAATAAGGGGATTTTTCTTAAACAGATTATAAATCTAAACAAGTGACTAAGTACAGTCCTTGGTACAAGTTAATTGGTATCAAAAATTGTAATATTAATTTGATGCGTAAAATTACTGATGCCCCGAGAAAAGGAGCAGTGTTTTTGTAAACACTAATTGGTTTAATTAGATTCAAAAGGCACAAAATACTTGTACATACATAAATATAAAAATTAAAGATACTACGAGTTATATAGCTCTGATCGAGCCTGGCATTTATGAGTATAACTTCCTCAAAGCATTATCCTTTCGTTTCAAATGCTGTTAACCCTTAAAGGGTTTTAATGTTGCCAATTATTCGAATTAGCCTTTCGCAGTTTGTACCTACATTACTCATGTTTGTTTGGAAATAGAATTAGAGGAATGTTAGTTCGTAATTGCTTAATTTCATTTGTAAAAAGAAATATTTACGTAGGCATTTATTAATTTTAAATTTTTGAAATCAAAAGAAAAAAATTTCTAACTAAATTTTAAGTTTAAGTTTCATGAATCTATTCTGACAAATATACGACTTATATAAAATAATTCTGTTTAAAATATAAGTATAAAACGCAATATACCTATTTTTTTTTAATTATTTTGCTACCCAACGACTCGAGGAGCGCCTGCTTTGCTAGGTGTTTAGAACTAATGATCCTTATATCTCCCACAACACTACCTCTACGAATTTGTATCACTTCAGAAACAGTTGATTTTTTTTTGTTTTTCCTCGAAGAGCGGAAATCTTCAAAAGACATCCCCTAAAAGGGGAGTAGTGTCGGATTCACCGAAGCGCCTACCGACTAAAACCACTCTTCGAGTCCCTACTCGGCCCGGAGGTCCTACATTCTAAGGAATGGCTCTGCGAAAAAGGTTGGGAGCGGGGAGGGGATTGAGTGTAGGAGAGGAATAATTTGGGAGCAAAGCTGAATGAAATGGAAATCGGTGGCTCCTAGGGAAGGAAGCAGCTCAGAGTAGAAAATGACAGGGCCTTCTGAAACGGTTATTCAGATTAGGGGCGAAATTGGTAAGTGTCGAGATAGATGGAGTGAAGGTAGTCCGTTTTCTTCCAGAATTTAGGCGTTTCTGACGACCCAGGAGTAGTTGAGTGCGAAAGAAGAAAAATGGCGTAATAGCAGATGCTCGGATTATTGCGTTGAATGCACGGATTTTGGTTTGATAGGAGATTGAGTTGTTCTGAAAGAAGGGCTTGACGGCGATCAAGGTGCCCAGGGCCTTGACACGAGTGGCTTGGATGTGTTTCGGCCAGGTGAGCTTTCTGTCAATGATGACGTCGAGGTAAGTGACGTAAAGGTTCTATTTGATGGGTTGTTAACAGTGATAACTGGGAGGTTTTCGAGTCCTACTGGAAAGGAAAATTGCTTCCGACATGATCTCGTTAATAGAGAGTTTCCAATTTAGGACAGGAACTTGTTAATTTTCGCGGAGCACTGGAGAATAGTTTGGGAGGAGTTAATAAGGGCGATGTCATCGATAGAGAGCAGTGAGAATCGAGGGATGGAATGTCATATCAGATTGAACTGAAGGGGTAAC